TAGGTCCAAGATTTTGAATTATTTACAAGAAGACTAAATTACAGTTTTGGTCCCTGTGTGTATGTATCTCAAATTTATAAAGACAAAATTGCAAAAATGGTCCCTGTGGTATGCAAAATTTTGGGGTTTTAGTCTAAACCACGAGTTTTTTGGATCCATGATCCTTTTGGAGTGGTTCTTATGTGGTTTTGGTCCCTGGACTTAACTCCCGTTAAGTTGAATCTGTTAAGCCCCCTCACGTGCCTCACACGTGAGGGTAATTTCGTCATTTCATATATTAGGGACCATTTTTGCATAAACGTTTTTTGGATTAATTCCTTTTAAATACCCCCACTTCCTGTGATCTTCTTCTCAACGTTCCCCAACGTCTCTTTTCTTCTACCCTTCTTCTTCTTGAGCTCTGCTACAACAAAAATGGTGCTATGTTTTTGTGGAAAAGTTGCTGTGGTGAAAACGTCTTGGACCCCTCTGAATCCAGGAAGGAGATTTTTTGCATGCCCTATGAATGATTCCGTTTGTGGGTTTATTGGGTGGTTTGATCCCCCAATGTGTGCTAGGGCTAAAGCCATCATACCTGGTCTGCTAAGAAATTTGAATTCAGTGTAAGAACGGTGCAATGAGTTGGTTAGAAGTATGAACATGCTACAAGATCAATGCAATGGACTGATATACAGGAACAACATATTAGTGGGAAATGTCAAAGCATTGAAGGATGACAATTTGAAGCTGAAAATGTACATGTTTGGAAGTTGGTTTTTCTTTGTGATTGTATTCTTCTGTATTTGGTTTCTGTAGGGTGGGGGTATACTGTGAAGGGTGTTTTGGTCATTTTGTTGTAATTTTATGTGATCATGTTTGTAGTGACTTATGATGATAATGATATATGTACAATTTTATGATGCAAGTGTAATGAATGTTTTACCAAAATGGTATGAATGTATCAGAATTAACATATGAATAGAAATGGTATGAATGTATTACTAAAATGTATATATTAGAACCAATTGTACATAACCAAAATGCACATTCCATTAAGACTTGTAATATAACAACCAAAGTTTCTAAACATAACAACCAAAGATTCTAAACATTACCAAAAGGGACACATTACCAAACCTAAGATAACAACCAAGTTTTCATAACAACCAACCAAAAGTTTTCAACAAAATATAGTAAACATAACAACCAAGTTTTCATAACCAACCAAAATCACAAAAAACCCCATGCATGCATGACACATTACTTCTTAGACTAATTCCCACCTTGCCCTTTACAGGTCCTAGAGTTGTGTCCCTTGTTCTTGCATTTGCTACAAGTAACACTGATATGCTTCCTTGATAGCTTCTACACTCCATCATTTGTTGGTTTTTGGGAACCTCCTTCTTGTGTAGCATTCACTCCATCACCTTGACCTGCCTTCTGCTTTTTTGCTTAACCTTTCACCCTCATTTTGTCTTTTCTTTTTCTTAGGCCTTCCCACCTGAGTGCGATGTGGAGGAGGGATTAGCTGTGGGACATTCACTTTTGGGCCACATAGATCTACCCTTAATTGGCTCCACCTTAAAAGAATAAGCCTTTTTCCATGTCTTTAGAAAATACACCTTGTGAACCCATTTGTAAATGTCAAGCTCAGCCTCTGGGTCTTTACTCATCTCATTCAGAGTTGCAATTGCATGTCTGCATGGAATTCCAATTAATTCCCATTTTCTGCAAGTGCATGTTTTGTTCCTAACATCAACCACATGTTGATCCTGCAAAGCTCCTGTGACTTGATACTTGTCTCCCCCATTCCACCTAACAATGTATTGTGAAGCAACTATTTTTCTTGCACCTAGGATGCCTGTTGCTGTGGGTGTTAGTGGACCTTTAGCCTTTTTCATTTCCTTCATGACATTGCATATCCTCTTCATTAGATACTCCCTTATGTATTCTAAACATCCAATGACAGGTTTATCCCTTCCTTTCTCCATCTTCCCATTAAACACTTCACACATGTTTGATATCAACACATCAAACTGCTCTTCCTGTGTGTACATTACCATTAAAAAAACATTTAATACAATTCACATACAAGTAAAACAGTTCACTAATGAAAGACATAAGGACCAAATTGGAATATATAGATTTACCTGAAAAATGACTCCTTGCCAATGTTTAGGAGGAATTTGTTTCAACCATTCACATGCCTCCTTATCATACTGACTAAACTCCTTCATCAAATGTTCAAACTCAGGAATGGTGGTAGCTGATGCACACCTCCATAAGTGGTCCCTATACTCTGTTTGCCTCCATCTTTTCCTCATATTGTCATGAATATGTCTGATACAATATCTATGCTCAGCATTGGAAAAATTTGCTCAACTGCAGTATGTAAACCCTGCAAAAATCAATTGTCAATCATTAGAATTAATTTAACAACCACACTTTAAATGACCAAATGTATATAAGCTTTACCTTTTTCCTGTCACTTATGAAAGTAAATTTGAGTTTCTTCCAAGATCCAAGTCATCCCCAAGGTTATCTAAAAACCATTTCCAACTTTCTGTGTTTCAGACTCAACAATCCCAATATGCTAATGGGTAAATTCCATTATTGGAATCAAGACCAACTGCTGAAAGGACCTGCCCAGGGAATGGTCCTTTCATGAAGGCACCATCAAAACCTAATAAGTCCCTAAGGCAATGCCTTGAACCCTTTTTTCAGTGACCCAAACACACATAAATTCTTCTAAACTGCCTGGTTGGGAATCAGGTTAGGCTCAGAACATACATCTATTTTCACTGTGGTGTCTGGGTTGGTGGCTGAAGTTCGAGAACATAGTCCCTCAACAGTTCATACTGCTTTT